CTGTACATAATTAAGTAATGTTTTTTTAATTTAAAGGCCTTTCCAATTTGAATGGACAATGAGATGCCCTGAACACAGGCAGTAGTGCTATGCTTTTAGTTTCAGTCTCACTGGCCCTCCTGTGGCCAACTACTTCTTGAAGACAATAGTCTTTGTCACAAGCAAACATGACTTGCAAACTGAGTCTTTACCTACAGGGAGTAGATGTCAGGACGATAAGCCCCATAGCTGCTATGTCCTGGCACGATGAAGTTACTGGCCGGCCCTGAACCTTCCCTTAGGGCGACCTTCTCTCCTTCTTCACATTGCCTCTGGCCAGCCCTAGACTTCCCTGTGTGGTAGCTCTATCTACTTCTAGGACCCCATCAATGTAAGTGATAGTTTTCCTATAGGACAGTCATTTCTTCATCTGCAGCTCTAAACCATCCCTGGTTAAAACTAAAACCCAGGCTGAGGCTGTAGTTCAGACAAAGCTCAGGGTTCGATTCCCAGCACCACACAAACTGAGCATTGTGGTATGGGTCACAGTTGGCACAGCACTCAGAAGATAAAGGCATAGTAAAGATTAAAAGTTCAAGGCCACCCTTAATTACATAAAAAAAAGTGAGAGTTCAGCATAGGATGGCAGGCCCTGTCTCAGAGGTAAATCTAGTCAAAATAAAAGCTAGTCCTGGGTTCCCTTAGCAGACACTCACACCTGAGCCCTGCCCTAGAGACTAACCCTCTTCAGTATTTTCCTGCACTGGTTTCATAAACTATGGTTCTGACATGAACTGTAACAAATGCAAGGCAAAATCAGGTCTGTGGCGGTTCCCCTTTGCCTCCCAAGCAGAGTACCTGCAGTCGTAGATCTTATTCGAAGAAGGCAGCTTGATAGGCAGAACTACCTGCTCCATGCCTGGAGCTTCAAGAGTCAGATAATTGTTCTCCATGGTGATGGAAACCAGCACAAGGCGAGGCTCCTGGCGGGCAGTGATCATGTGTCCATCTTCCTTAACCAGCATCCAAAACCTGCAGAGAGGCAGACAGGCATGCTCAGATCATCTTCCTCACTTCTCAAGAACTTCCTCTAGCTCTCCCTTACCTCAAAGCCATCCACCCATCCTCCTTGAGAGCTGATAGCAGATTGTGAACATCTGGATGGATCCTTTGAGCTAAAGGCTGTTGTCCCCAAAAGGAGCCCTTTGCTACCTTAAGATGTGCAAGAAGCCCTCACCGTATGTGAGCATATGTTCTTAGAATTCTTACACTCATTTGTTACTGAATCTCAAATGTACTTTTACAGCCAAAGAAAATAGACTAAGACGTCCTGCTTTGATTAAAACGTCACCCAAGCCTAAACTTTTAACTCTCAACATTCCTCATCCTCAGACAAGACTCGAATGTACCCAACCAGACACTTCATCTCTGGGCCTAATCGTATCAGCTTCCAGCCACCCAAAATAGCCCCTCCCACAGCTGACAACAACTGTGTAACGAATGAGAACTAAACTCTGAAGTTAAAAAAAAACGGGAGAGGATGCTTAGCAGCTGCCTACTCATTGTAGCAACTGAAAAGACAAAAGAGGACTACAAGGGAATTCAACCCAGGAACTGCACAAAAACTGATACAAGGTTAACAGGCTACCGTAATGGTTGACAGTCAACAAGATCTCGAATCACCTCTGGGCTTCCCTGAGGAAATGTCTAAGTTAACTGAGGTGAAAAGAGACATCCTAAATATGGGTGGCCTCCTCCCATGGGCTGGTGTTCTAGACTGAATAGAAAGGCCAAAGCTAGCTAGCTGATCACCAGCCTTCTCTGCTTTCTGCGGGCACCATGTGACCAGCCCCTCACAATCCATCTTCCCTTCATCTGCTTCTTTTCAGGTATTTGTCTCCACAGACAGTAAACTAAGACAGCTGCCACGTACAACAGACCTCAGCCACCTCCTTCAGGATACTTTATCATGTGCACATAAAAAAAAATGAACAAATGATCCACTGTGTTCTGCCCAGCTTCAAGAGACAGAATGAACTTAGAAAGTTACCCCAACTTGACTGGCAATAAGAGTCAGCATCCTGACTTTACAGCAAAGCACAAGCAGGTGACAGATGGACCAGTGTAACAGCCCAGAGTTCAGAATCCCCACAGTAAACAGCAGGGCCTTGAACGCCAGTGGAACAGTGACATGGTGCCCAGGGCAAGTGAAAAAAAAATCTCACTTAAGTTAAAAACTAGCTGCCAGCTATCCAGCAGAGTTGGGGTGGAGGAGGGTGGGGACAGAAAGGACCGAGCCCAAAAGAGAAGGTGGGAGGAGAAAGGTCAGAGAAGGGAATATGCCTGGGCAGGGTGCTCCCTTTATCAATAGGTGATAAATGCACAGAAGAGTAGACAGTTGGCTTCAGAGAAGGGTGTGAACAGAGAAGGTGATAGAGTCTGCTGCTTAAGGACGTTTACAAGATCAAGGAAGGAAGCCACCCCCACAGCGGATGGCCTGTGCTACCATCTTCTAGGGGGACCTTAAACCCTTCACAGCTCAATGAACTAGGTCAAGGTCGAGTGCAAAAGGGCCGAGAACACTAGCCAAACACCCCCAGCAGTTGCGGGAATGGGGCAGTATAGAGGAAAATCCAGACACAAAATAAACAAAAGATGTCTTTCCCTTCAGAAAGACCAGTAGTTCTGGTCCTGACTCAGGGGCAGAAAACAGCCTAATGGGGCAGAGGTCTGGCCGACAAGCTTGCTTCTGAATATTAATTATCTTTGACAAATAAAACTCAAGCTGGAGATTAGATGCATCTGTTCAAGGTCTCCTGCTCCTGTGTGCTTCTTACGTTCCTGTATCACACACTGTAGCCACCTAGATCTGAATTCAAACCCCTCAGAACAGGCTGGGTTTGTGACCCCTAGACATACCCTTCCTGTCCAATACTGTCCCATGGGATGGGGACAGTCATAGCTAGCCTACAGAATAAACAATAGATTGGCAAACTTACAGGACAGGGTTTAACCCAATGTCTGTCACATAATCACTTCTCTGCCTCTCCCTCCACCTCAGACCACATAATCCAAAGAGTATATTGCTCCTGCTGAAACTGGTGGTACAGGCCTGTAATCCTAGCACTTAGGAAGCAGAGGCAGGTGGATGAATCCCTGCACGTTCAAGGCTAACCTTATCTACACAGCAAGTTCAAGTCAGTCAGAGCTATGTAGTGAGATACTTTATTTAAAAAAAAAAGAATGTATTGCTCAAAACAAGAGAAATGATACAGTTCTATTTATTTTATTGAATCCCTAGGAAGCAAAAAAGCAGGGCAAAGGACATCTTTTCTCTACACTAGCAATATCTACAGCCAAACCATGATAATCTTAGTGAGGGGCACAGCATGCTCTAATGATCTGAGGAAACACAGGTCAGTACTGGTTACCTGTGAGACATCCCAGAGTTCTTAGACGGGAGAAGAGCTGCTCACGCTTGCCTCCTCCTCCGGTTAGCACTGTGAGCCTCAACACCTCCCAGGTGTTGTACAATATCCAGTACCAGGTACCCGAGGTCTTCCCAGCCTCAGGGCCGAGATCTTAAGCTTCACATTTTAATAAGCTCTTTCTCACAGTGGTGAGGATAACAGTCAGGGCTTCACGCACCCTTGGCAAGCACTCTCTATTACCAACTGAACTACATCCCCAAGCCCTCAATAAATGATAATTTACAAAACCTCCCAGCATTGGAAACCTTGGATGCCAATGAGGAATGGAAAATCCATGAGCTTCCGGTTCTGTAAATTTATTCTGTACCAGAACTAAACTCTCTGCTTTTTTTTTCATTCTAACCTCCTTTAAGATTATTTTATGCCCGTTCGTAACTAGCTCTCTACCCCCATCTGCTACAGCCCCTTCCCTCACCTCCCCCCTCCTCACTTCCAGCAAACCACTGCTTCTTACTCATTAAAGTGGTCACCAGAACTAGAGGGAAGGAAAGGCCGGATGTTCTTGAAAACATTCAGCCAACGGCATTTTATATTTCTAGTATCCTACAGTTAGGAGAGCTGTACAGACAGCTGAGTTGGTCCTGTGACAGGGTGTCTCGCTCCTTCAGGGTTCCGGGATTGCTCCAACTCACTTTTCTAAAAGTACTTTAGCCAGAAGCATAGGCTTCGCAGCCAAAGGGTCAAAGGTAGAGAGCCCAGAGAATTCAGGCAACAAACCTCAGCTCTGTTGTGCTGAAAGGGATGGGAGCCAAAACCAGGCGCTCTTCCTCAGTCTAGAGTAAATTTGCATGTTGTAAAGCTAAAATTCTCCTCCCGGAAGGCCTCCCCACAGCCATTTTTGGGCTTGCAAACTACCATTTCAACTTGAACATGCCCACGAATGTGCCCAGTGTTACAACTGATGACAGCTCTTTCCCATATGTGTGTGCGTGTTTCCCAGATGCAACAAACCCTTAACTTTCTAGGTTTGGGGAGAACACAGCTTGCAGTACAGAGCTCCACTCCACTTTCTCCAGGCTCACCCTCTGGAGCAGGGGTAAGCAAGGGCCCACCTCCCTCGCCCTGGCCCACCCGCGCCGGGTGCAGCGCGGGGCTCCGCGTACCTGTCGCGCACTTTGCCGCAGCGCAGCCCCATGGCAGTGCACTCGGTGTCGCACACCGACACCCCCTTGCAGGACTTGATCGGGTAGATCCAGACCTTCGACACCGTGCCCACCTGCTGCAGCTGCCGGCGCCGCCGGGGACGCGCGTGACGCCAGGCCACGGCCCCCAGCGCCACCGCGACCAGTCCTAGCGCGGCGACGCCGAGCCAGGTGGACCGCGGCTTCTCGGGGAGGCCGAGGTGAGCCAAAGCCCTGGAGCTGGAGGAACCCATGTTAAACTACCCCGGGCAGGCCTGGGCTACCGGGCCGCGGTGGCGAGGCGGGGGTTTAAGGCTCTGGGGAGTGTGGGAGGAGCCAGAGTTGGCGCAGCCGCACCTCCTGTCAAACTTCCGCTGCTCAAGTCGGGTGGCGGAGCCTGGCCCACGCCCATCGCGGGTGGCAGCGTGGGGCGGTCACTGTCATTTTATTTTGCTTTTGTCTGCCTTTAAAGCGACCCCTCCCCCATGACCCTTCAACCCGCTACACTCGTTTACCCTTTTGCTTCTAAAAGGAGCGCACTCAGTTATGCGAGAAGCTGAACTGAAATGAAGCGGGATGGAGGAATGTTTCCTGGGGACAACGTTGGGGAAGGTGGTCAGAAGATCGCGCAGCTCTCTTGAACGCTCAGCTTCAACCTCTGCAGGTAGAGACAAGACGACTGGCGCGGCTTTTGGCAGCGTGACCTGGGGTTGCAGGTACACAAGCCAATTAAGACTGCCTGAGGAAGGGAAAGGCTACCAGAACTTACCACTTGATGTGGCTGAGGTCAGAATAGAGGACTCTGGTCGACTTTTCCTAGGCAACATTCTAAACAGGATTTAAAAGTCGGGCTTTGGCAAGAAGATAGGCACACGTTCAAGACCATCGTGGACTATGATAGCCAGGACCCGTCTCAGAAACATCAATGATTAACTCGTCAGTTGAAAGCCGCTCAACAGGTAAAGGTCCCGGCTACGAACACTGACAACTTGAATTCAATCCCTGGGACCCATGTGGTAGGAGGGAGGGAGGGAACCATTTCTTGGACGGACAGACAGACAGACAGACACACACACACAGAGAGAGGGGGGGGGGAAGAAAGGAGAGGGGGAGGAGAAAGTGAGAAGAGAATAAGTGCTAAGTAAATAAATGGAGAGATGGCTCAGTGGGTAAGAGCGCTGGCTGCTTTAGCAGAATACCCAGTTGGACTCCCAGCACTTACATAGCAGGTCATAACTGTCTGCAATGCTAGTGCCAGGAGATCCACACCTCTTCTGGCCCCTGCAGGTAGCTGGAACGCAGGTGGTACTCAAGCATACATGCGGGCAAAACATCCATACAACTTAAAATGAAAATAATCTTTTTTAAGAAAAGCTAAAGACTTAGAATTTTGAACTATTCTTCTGCAGCTTGGACAGTCATCAGAGACTATGAACCTCTGTCTGGGAAGACAGGACAGAGCCCCAACCTCCATAACTGTCAGCCAGCACAGCAAGTGTGTTTGCTTCTTGTCTTTTACTCACGCTTCTGATAGGTGTCACGAGACTGAAGGAGCCTACCCTGTAGCACCTACCATGCTTCTCTGCCCCTTCACTTTTCCTCTGAAAAGCCCAAAGACCTCTGCCTAGATTAGGAAAGATTTGAGCTCATTTCTCCCCTCCCCCCGCTGTTTATTACTTGATGAATAAAAGCCAGGCTTTTCAGGCTTCATGGTTTAACTGATGTCTGCCATTATTTTGTAAAAGCTTCATTCAAGCTAACTACTGGGATAAGAACAGACTTTCTTAGTCAGGATGGGAGCTTGTTTATTTTTCAAAGGATGGGTCTTTGCATCAAGACATAATCTGTTCGAGGCCTCTTGGGGAGGCCATCCTGTAGTCCCCTCCAAAGTAGGGCTAAGCCACCTGCTGGAGAAGGGGCTATAAAAAAAAACATTGCTTAAACCAGTGGGGGTGGGGGAGAGGCTGGAGAGACAGGCAGACAGACAGACAGACAGACAGACAGACATATGTATGCAGGTATCCTTGAAGGCCAGAGAGGGTGCCAGGTCTCCTGGATAGGAGTAACAGGCCATTTCGAAGCATCCAACATAATTGCTGGAGAGATAGAGCTTCTGTCTTCTGTAAGCACAGGGTGTGTGTGTGTGTGTGTCCACCTTTCCACTTATGTCGTCATACTTTAGCATCTCATTAGCATCTCATTAGCATCTCATTAGCATCTTAAATCTCTTTCCAGGCGTGTATGTTGCAGAATTATAATAAGCCATATATGGGTCACCTACAAACTCTAGAGCAGTGGTTCTCAACCTTCGTAATGCTGTGACCCTTAAATGGAGTCCCTCGTGTTGTGGTGACCACCAAACCATAACATCATTTTATTGCTACTCATAACTGTAATTTTGCTACTGTCATGAATCATAATGTAAATATCTAATAAGCAGAGTGTCAGATATGTGGCCCCTGTGAAAAGGTCGTTTGACCCACAGATTGAGAACCACTGCTCTAGAGAGTGAAATTAGTGGGCGTAGTGGGGGGCGGGGGGCAGTCCAACAGCCTCTTTACCAGTTTGCTCTTTTCATTTGCTGATTGTGTGGGGTTTCCCATGTTGCTTTCCAGGCCAGGCCTCACTCTCTGCCCTGCTCTTCATATCCTGTGTTCCCAGGCCTGCACAAGCTTCTGTCAGAGCTCCATGCCTGTAAAGTCATGGTCCACACTAGGTGGGCCTCCTGACAGGGTAAACATCTCTTTATTTAAAACAAACAAACAAACAAACAAAATTGAGATTGTGTAGCTCTGGCTGACCTGGGACTCACTGAGTACACCAGGCTGACCTCTCAAGTTTACAGAGACCTGCCTGTCTCTGCCTCCCAAGTGGCAGAATTAAAGCTGTAAGTCATAATGTCTGGAAAAATAAAATAATATTTTACGTGTTTGAGTATGTATGTATGTATGTATGTATGTATACTATATGTATGCTTGGTTCCTAAAGAGATCAGAAGAGGGCACCAGCCTCCTGGAACTGGAGTTACAGATGGTGTGAGCCACCATATGGATGCTGGGAACTGAACCTAGGTCCTGTGTAAGAGCAGCCAGTGCTCTTAACCACTGAGCCGTCTGAGCCAGCCCTGCGTCTCTTTAACTTATCCGTTCCTCTAAATATATATGTCTTGTCCATGCACCAGGCTTTGTCCTAAAGTTTAGATGAAGTTGCCTGTCAGTCTGTGTGACTGACAGCTCACCTGCAAGTCCACAAGACAGTGACAAACAGAACTCCTCCTGGTCAAGACTTGGAGCAGATAAATCCAGTCTGTCTGTCTTCCCAGAGGGTGTGTGTGTGTGTGTGTGTGTGTCTCTGTATCTGTATGTATATCTGTGACTGTGTGTCTATGTGTGTCTGAATCTGTGTGTGTCTCTGTGTATCTGTATGTGTGTCTATACGACTTTGTGTGTATCTGTGTCGGGTCATGGAAAGGTATCTTGGTTCTTGGGTTGGCATGGGCCTGGAACCCCAGGACTGCAGGTATTCGGCCATGCACCCAGAACCCAGGGCCCTGACACGTGGTCTAATCTCCATTTAACCTGCACTGTCAGTCACATAAGACACAGGTAGAGGGCATGACTAACAGGCCTCTGCCTCGAGAGATTTACATATTAATGAGTTATCTAAAGGCTGGGGGGCATAGCAAATTAAGTTATCCCTCCTCAGTCCCTCCTCTTTCCCACTCCCTATATAAGAGAGCTCCTCCTGGCATTTGGGGGGGGGGGGAGGGCGCACGCACATCCAGATCCAACGCCCTGGACAATAAATTACTTTTTGGAAACCCAGTCCACTTGTCTTCTGGGGCCTGCTGCCCCAGCTTTTGAAACTTCAGACTTTCTCCAGTATGTGGGACCCGCCTGAAACCCGCCTGCAGAAAAGCCCTGGGACTCCACCGCTGCCGGTCCCTGCAGGCCACCTCTGAAGCTCCCCCCTCCCCCATGGACATTGTGCACGCCCCCCCACGCACATGGTTTTTTCCCACATATCTGTGTGCATCTGAATGTGTGTCTGTTGTATGTCTGTATCTGCGTGTATATCTGTGTGTCTTTATCTGTGTGTGTGTGTGTGTGTATGTGCAGGTGTGTCTGTGTGTGTATCAGTGTGTGTGTGTGTGTGTGTGTGTGTGTGCGCGCAGGTGAATCTGTGTGTATCTGTATGTGTGTCTGTGTGTGTATCAGTGTGTGTGTGTGTGTGTGTGCAGGTGTATCTGTGTGTATCTGTATGTGTGTCCGTTGTGTGATCTATGTGTCTGTATCTGTGTATGTGTGTGCAGGTGTGTGTGTGTGTATGCAGGTGAATCTGTGTGAATCTGTATGTGTGTCTGTGTGTGTATCAGTGTGTGTGTGTGTGCAGGTGTATCTGTGTGTATCTGTATGTGTGTCTGTTGTGTGATCTATGTGTCTGTATCTGTGTATGTGTGTGCAGGTGTGTGTGTGTGTGTATCTGTGTGTGTGTGTGTGTATGCAGGTGAATCTGTGTGAATCTGTATGTGTGTCTGTGTGTGTATCAGTGTGTGTGTGTGTGCAGGTGTATCTGTGTGTATCTGTATGTGTGTCTGTTGTGTGATTTATGTGTCTGTATCTGTGTATGTGTGTGCAGGTGTGTGTGTGTGTGTGTGTGTGTGTGTATGCAGGTGAATCTGTGTGAATCTGTATGTGTGTGTCTGTGTATGTATCAGTGTGTGTGTGTGTGTGTGTGCAGGTGTATCTGTGTGTATCTGTATTGCGTCTGTGTGTGTATATGTGTGTGTGTGTGCAGGTGTGTCTGTGTGTG